CCGGCGTAGACGTAGGACCTGCAGGGAAAGCGGGCCTGAGATAAAGCTGCCCTCGGCGTCCGAACAGCTGGCTCTGGGGCCCGGGTGAGGGTGCTGGGCTTGAAGCTGAGGTTAGGTCTGGAAAAGGAGGCCAGGGCCATGGCCACCAGCGTGGGGCTGGCCTCAGAGGCCATCTGCCTGGGTTTAGGGAACAGTCTTTCCTTTGAGTTAAGCTGACTGAGTCTTCCCCACTGGTTCCTCTCCTTAGCCCTGAGCTTTGTCCTCTAAGGTGCTGGCCAGGGTGACAGGTCATGACGGGTCCACAGCAGTAGTGTGCTGGTAACTGGTTCTCAGGATGGGAGGGAAGGGGCCCAATTGGTGGCATTCGCCAATTTCTATAGATGATTTCAAGCAACGGGCTGATAGCATTTCTGAAATGTAACTGTTCGCTCTCGTGAGCCACGAGCTGGCTCCAGCTCACCACTGGTCCTTTTAAAGGGCCCTCCACACGTTACAAGCAGACCCCACCACAAGCCTCCCTGGCCTGGAGACCGCTCTTACCCGCCTCCACCCAGCCGTAATACTGTCCGTAAAGAAAGAGAGGGAACGGACTCAATGTGGAACCACACGGGATTTTAACTATGAAAAGGGGTCAACATGTTCAAACTCCTCCTCAGCGGACCTAGGCATAAAAACCCAAATTGAGCTGAAACCAGTTTGGCTCAGTGGATAGAGCGTCAGCCTGCAGACTGAAAGGTCCCAGGTTCGATTCCGGTCAAGGGCATGTACCTTGGTTGCGGGCACATCCCCAGTAGGGGGTGCGCAGGAGGCAGCTGATTGATGTTTCTCTCTCATCGATGTTTCTAAGTCTCTATCCCTCTTGCTCCCTCTCTGTAAAAAATCAATAAAAATATATTTTAAAACACACCAAAAAAAAAAAAAAACCAAAAAAAAAAAAAACAAACCCAACACCAGCTCCTAACCCTTGTTTGGCCCCTGCTGGCCATGTGACCCTGAATATCCCTTACTACCTCCGAGCCCCCGTTTCCTGAAATGTTAGGAGAACAGAATGAGATTGTGTCCATCTCACTTTTAGCACTCTCAACAGGGGCCCTGTCCTTTCCTTCTCTGGCCTCAGTTTCTCCACCTATAAAATGGGCATGATTCGTTGTTACCTAGCAGAAGGTGGTAAGGATTTATGACACAACAAATATGAAAGAACCGAACGGGAATGAAATAAACTAAGAGTACCATCTGCTGATTCTGTTGTAAACACACATGCACATGCACACACATGCATGCACACACGCAGAGTGGCCTGTGACAGCCTTGATGGCAGGGACCACTCCCTGGGATATGACTAGTGTCTGGTAACCACTGGGTCAGTTGGCAGCCGCAGAAAGAGTAACTCTTGTTTGAAACACAATAAATGTTCCCAGAGCAAGAAGGGTCCTCATAGAAATCTGGGTTAAAGCCCTTGATTCTCTTTTAAACGTACAGGTAAACTGAGGCTGAGGAAAGGTGGAGGGCTCAGGGCTCAGTCACATGGCGAGTCCCTGGCTCAGCAGCACTAAAACCCGGTCCCTGGACACTGAGCCCAGGACTCTAGCCACAACCCCAGGCACCTCATCAATAAACTCTCCCTCTTCTGGACAGTTGGGCCCCGGTCAATCAGGCTCTAATTAGTTCCACCCTGACAGCCACTGGCAGCTGAAGTGTCCCCTCCCTCTGCGGAATGTCTCTTGACCTTATTTCCGGTGGCATCCGGGGTCCAGGCCCCACACTTACCGCTCAGCACAGGCGTCCTGGCAGTGGGAGACGGTCATCTTTCTCAAGTCAAAAAACACAGTGCCCTTCAGCGTTCTCTCCTGGCCGTCGTCACGGAAGCAGCCAACATAGGTGCCTGCAGGCAGAGAAGCACAGCAGAGACTCAGAGGCCCTGGGGAGGGAGGGGTCCTAATGGCAGCCCACCCTGGGCGAATACCAAGGTCACCCCCAGCCCTTCTGGGCAAGGGGGTACCTCTCAGAGAAGCCAGGGCATGAGGCTGTGGTCCAACGTCTTCGGCAATGCTTCTGGATACGTCAACCTGCTCCCTTCTGCCCCTTTTCTTGGTTAATGTCCCACTGGCCCCCAAGACTAAGGTGACCAGACATCCCGCTTTTGGTGGGACAGTCCTGATTTTTAACAATTTGTCCCGCGTCCTGCGGCGTTTTAAAAAACTCCAGATGCTTTCCAAACATCGGGACGTTTTAAAAACGCTGCTGGACGCGGGACAAATTGTTAAAAATCGGGACTGTCCCGCCAAAAGCTGGACATCTGGTCACCTTACCCAAAGACACCCCGCCAGGGCCCTGGGGTCAGTCTGAACACCACCTTCTTCCATCACAACTCAGCAAGTCAAGTACCTCCCCCAGACCACCTCCCATCCCTGCCCTTTCTGGGCTTGGAGGGGCCTTCCAGCTCCACAAATGTTTCGAGTGGCAGGTTCTGTCACCTCCTTGCCATCTAGAAGAAGGAAATTAATTGTGGAAACTCTGACTACAGAGAATATAAACAGATCCTGCAGATAGAGCTACTTCAAGAAAAATAGCCGCCATTCCCAGGTGAGAGCAAGCCCCCATCCCTGGAGGGGTGTAAGGAGCCTTTGGCGTGTAAGACTGCTGTCCTCTGCGGGACTCAGCAGGCCCACAGACCCCGGGGCCTGCCAGTCCAGGATCTCTGGCACAGCCCTGAGGGAGAACATGGCTCCACAACAGGGTGGCCAAGCTGATTCAGACAGGCACTGGCCAGGGAAGGCCCCAGCAGCCCTGCCCTGCCACCCTGAGAGGGCAGAATCTCGCCCCTTCCAGGCAGTGATCCTCTTAGATCCCAGCAGCACACATGTGGCCACACCCTGTGTCCACACAGAGGCACATGCTACACCCTCCACTCAGGGCTCCCAGACCCCCAGGCCATGGAAGCTTCTCTCTGCTTTTCTGCAAAGACTCAGGACTTCTGAGACCAGAATGGACCTCTGCAGGAAGATTGCACCCAGGTCAGCGAGAATAAATGGCTCTTCTCAGCCTGCCTGCTTAGTGAAAGAAAACGAATATTTCAGAAATTCCTCATGTGGTGCTCAGCGAAAAAGAAATTCTATTACAGCTTTCAACTAAGCATCCAAAACACAAGCACAGGGGTGTTAAACATTTGTCACTGTGTGTGAGAAATGAACCTGAAGGTTGTAAAGACGCCCTGGCTCAGTACCCCCGGAGGCTGAGAATGGCACGTACATGTTTCCAGGGGAGCAGGGAACAGCTTTTGGGGGAATGGGCTGACTTAGGTTTCGCTTCCTTTTACTGAGCCTCAGCTTACCCATCTGTGAAATGGGGCTACAGGCCCATGGAAATCATGGAGGCGCTAATAAGAATTCCACAGCACATGGGAAGCGTCTAATGCAGGCGTGGCATGTGATACAGTACCCGCTGTCATGGTTGTTTTTTACTGTTAATATATCACTATTAATATAAACTATTGAAAAATTACTCTACTTCCCCGAAACTCAAATCCTTCATCGTTAAAATGGTGATAGCACCATGTACGTGTCAGGCTGTTCAACATTAAGTGAGATAACAGATGTACACCCACACAGAACAATGCTTGACCATTAACAGATGTTCGAATAAATAACAAAGATTATTATTCTGATCCTTCTCTCTGACCTGGGACCTCATATGATGATGGATCAGTGAATATCGGCTGAATAATTAACACATTCATAAGAGAGAGAAATAAGTGGTTTCAGGCAGTCAGCCTCGGGTTCTTCAGAAAACAGGGAGCAGCGAACCAGTCAGCAGCTGCCCACGTCGGAACTGACCGGCCCTCGCCTGGCCGTCCCGCTCAGCGTGTAGAGGGGGCCTGCGGTGCAGATGGCTCCCCTCGATGTTTATGAGGAGGAGGTGAGCTCTTTCTTCCGGAAAAGTAACGGATGGCCTTTCTAACTCCCTGACAGAGGCAAGAATGCGCAGAAAGAAAGAAAAGGACTTCCGAGGGATACGCTGGGACACATTCCGAGGCGGATTTATTACTTTCGGCTGAAATGGAGGCGATGCATTATTGTCTGTGACTCCACATCTGTTCATTTGCACATCAAAATGGACATGCTGTGAGGCTATTAATGATGGCTTCGGAGATATTGGAATGTCTTTGGAAATTACTATCAATAAAAAACAAACCGGCCATGGAGAAGTTACTATTTTTCCCCTCGTAAACGTACTGACATTTTATTCCATTATGGATGTTGTCCAAGGTATAATGAAATGCTCGGTGATTGATGGAGCCTCCTGCAGCTTCCCAGGCTTGCAGGATCCCTTTTCAGGGGGATGGCAGGCTGTCCGCGCCTCAAAGAGACGCCCTCTTTGTCTGCAGCCCCAGCAGCTGTCCCGAGGGCTGGACGGGGTCTCCTCTCCACCAATGAGGCCTGCCTGATTGTGCAGGGCCCCCAGAGGGGGTTCAGGCCAGGGCCCTGACTCTTCCCTCTTCCTCTGAAGATTTCCAGCCATGTGACACCGCCGCCTCACCCAGAGCACAAATCCCATCTGAAATCTTGGAGGATATTAAAATCTCTAATAACCATTACTGACCATTCAACACCAGAGCTCCTGCTGTACCCGGTGTTAGCTCTTCCCTTGCTGCTGGGTCAGGGGGAGGTTTGGGGGGTCACTGGGGAGGGCAACAGAGTGCCCAGGGCACCCCAGGCATCAGGATAGTCACCCTTTTAATATTTTAAGAACTGATAAAGCCATAGTGGCTGACCTAACCACAGTCCTTCAGCCTTCACTGCAGCCCCTTGTGTCACTTTTTTAAATCACTGAAGATGACTTAAAAGGGGTATCCACTAGTTCTCTGAACATACGCACTCAACACCCAGAGCTATAACTAGGTCACCCTGAGCCCTCCCCTCTGCTGGCCAGACACGCTGAAGTCAGGTTATAAAGAACTAGTCACTTCTGTCTAATAGGCCGGAAGTCTCCATCACGCCTTACTCGTGCTGTGCAGTAAACATGTGGGTGCATATCTGACTCTGTCCCCAGACCCAGATCCTGAAGTGCACTGTGAATAGCATATGTGGAGACCCAGACATGAATCCTCAATAGGTGCAGATTGAGAGCAATAACGAGAATTGCAGCTAAGCTGCCCAAGGTCACAGAGCCCAGAACTGGCAAGACCAAAAGAGGCACTCAGCTCTGCTTTCAAAACGTGTGCTCTTTCTATGGCTTCGTCTCAAGGAATCCATGCTGGCCTTGTCAGTCATTGACACTCTAGTCCACATGTGTCAAACACAAGGCCCACGGGCCAAATTTGTCCCGCCAGGCCTTGCAATGTGGCCCGCACCGCGCTGTCATCACTGCACTCCGCTGCGTTTCCATCACAATGACAGTTTATGACTGTTCAGTAAACCATTCGGCCCGCGATTTAGGCTGGATTTTAGATTTTGGCCCCTTCTCTGATTGAGTTCGACACCCCTACTCTAGTCTAAATGAGTGATGCTGGTGCAACCTGCCTAGGGACCCAGTGTCTGGGTGTGCTGAGGAGAGTTTATAGAAATCATACCTGCATAAAACGAGCTGCAGAAACAGTCCCTCGTTTCTCCCCTGAAAGCCTTGCTGAGGAACCTCAGGGTGAGGGCTTTGACCTCGATGATTTTCGAAGAAACTTCCTTCCATGCAGACAACAGTGCAGTCTTCCATCTACATTCTACGGAGCCACTAGGGTCACCCCCCTAAGGCAAGGGAAGCCTGGGCTCCTTTCTCTTCCCTGGATCCTTCTCATTATCCTTGGCATAAAGTCAGATCCCTAGACCTGACACTCACAGCCCTCCCTGACTCAGGCGCCAGACCTGAACGCAAAGCCCACGCTCCAATCGCCTCACATCTTTCTGTATCCTGCCATGGAGTGCTTCATTCTCCAACCACACTTTTTTTATTTAATATATTTTATTGATTTTTTTTTTTACAGAGAGGAAGGGAGAGAGCTAGAGAGCTAGAAACACTGATGGGAGAGAAACATCGATCAGCTGCCTCCTGCACACCCCCCCACTGGGGATGTGCCCGCAACCAAGGTACATGCCCCTGACCAGAATCGAACCTGGGACCTTTCAGTCTGCAGGCCGACGCTCTATCCACTGAGCCAAACCGGTTTCGGCTCCAACCACACCTTTTATAGTTAGGAGAACAGTTCCCCTGTGTCTTAGGGTGCAGGACCGGATGGGGCGGTGACAGAGATGCTGACTGAGCTGTCAACACCCAACAACAGCCATGACACTTTCTGGGTGCTTGTCACATGCAGGCTCCGTTCCTGGGCCCCACACAGAGCCTGTATCACAGTGCCCAGAGCCCCGGCCTGAAGCCAGGAGGTTCCCATGTGAGGGTCTCAGCAGCGCGGCTGGGGCGGGGCCACCTGTGTCCCCCAGGCCTCGCTGCTTCCGGGTTGCACCTAGAGATGCAGGCTTCACCCTTGTTCCGAGAGATGCAGGCCTCCAACTGCTCTGCTCCGTAACACACCCTTTCCTGGCTGTCTTCTTGTCCCTGTCTTCCTTCTCCCTCCCTCACAGTGCTCCCAGGATCACAGCCCTAATCCACCATGTGCATTGGAATCCCGTTCTCAGGGTTTGCTCCTGGGAACCCACCTTGGGGATTGACTTAACTTGTTTGAGCCTCAGTTTCTTCATCTATAATAATATTGGAATATAATGTAGAACCCATATATAGCACATTTACAGGAACACAATAGATGGCATGTGAGTTAGCTGTTTTTATTAAGGGATGTAACTAACAGCTGCCAGTTTCTGAATGCCGAATAACGTACTAGGTCCTCTAGCCCAGAAGTGCTCGGCTTGGGTGTACATCAGAATCACCGGGGCGGGTGGCTACAGGGACTGCGGCCCCTGCCCCAGAGCTCAGGATCCCCCAAGTCTGGGAGAACCTGAGAATCTGCACTTGCAACAGGCTCCCTGGGGAACCTGAAGCTGCTGCTCTGGGACCCCACCTTCCGAGCCACTGCTCTACATGATCACATTTAGTCCCCACAGTAGCCCTGGGGCAGGTACCTCTATCTCTACTTCAGAGGGACCCGGAGAAGGTAAGCAAGCGCCGTCCAACAAGTTTGTGGCCAAGCCAAGGTTCAAGACAAGGATGGTCTGGACCCAAAGGCTGAGCTCAGAGCGACCTGCTCACACACCCTGCCCTGAGCCATGTGGAAGTCCAGCTGCGAGTGAGCAAACTCCAAGGGGCTTCCCATCACCGGCACTCCCCAAGCCGGGCGAGCAGGAGGGGAGGGGCAATATGTGAAGGTCCGGGTCTGCAGTGCCTGCTCCCCAGGCTGCCCCAGGGGCCAGAGAAAGGGGCCTCTGACCCTGTGACCCCGAGCAGGCTCCTGAGAGCAGCTCCCAGATATGCCAGAGGAACCCGAGCTGAGCACCTACCTCGGCTGCTGGCGGCTGGCCCGGGGGCCACGGGGCCCAGGGCGGGCAGCGCCTGGGGGTCACCCATGAAGTGGTGGAACCAGCGGCGCCGCAGCTGGCGTAGCTCCGAGTTGCGGCTCCGGAGCCAGCGGGGCCCGGGCCGGGGCCGGGCCAGGGGGCTCTGCAGCACGTCCACGCCGAGCAGGAGCTCCGAGCTGACGCGCGGGTCCTGCAGGGCTCTGCTGTCCAGCAGGCCCACGCCCAGCGCCACGGCGGCCACGGGCAGGGCCTGCAGGGAGCCCGGCGCCCGGGGCCCCTGTGGCAGGGCCACGCGGGCCCGCTGCAGCAGCAGCAGGCTGCCGGTCATCAGGTAGGCGGCCGTGAGGAAGAACAGCAGGAACTGTGTTCTGCGGAGAAACTTCTGGAGTCGGAAGAAAGGTTTGGCCATGCCCCTGGGAGGAAGGGCTCCCGGCTGGAGCCTGGGCACGGCTCCTAGCGCCCGGGCGGGAGGGAGGCCGGGGCCTCCGGAGGCATCATCTCCACATCCTGGAGCAGCCTGTGCTCTCGGGGGGCTACTGCTCCCGCTGCCCTGCTTCCGGCAGGTGCTCAGGTGGCACCATCACTCCTCTCGGGCCGCTGCACCCTGCAGCTGCAGCTTCTGGCTGAGGGTCATGACCTTCGCCATTCCTGAGCTCTGCCCACCTTCACCTCTTGGCTCAGGAAAACCTGGAAAGGCAGAGAAAAACCACGTCGGTGAAACAGGAGGGGCCTCCAATCCCACCGCTCCAGGCCAGAGCCCCTCAAGGCTGGCTCCATTTCCCAAAGGGAGCACTGGACAGAGATCGGGGTTCAAGTCTCAGCTCTGCCACCAGCCGGCTGTGTGCCATCGAGCAAGTGACTTCACTTCCCAGGACTCAGCTTCCTCGCCTATGACATGGGACCACCCTGTCCCTGGGGCGGTGGTGGGGATCCAATAAGGGCAGCGACAGGGCAGAGGGAGAGCAGCAGCTCTGTCCTGAGTCCTTCCTAAGTGTCAGGCACTCAGCTCAACGTCTTACGAATTACCTCATTTCACCTTCCCACCAATCCAGTGCGGGGCATCCTGTAATATCCCCAATTCCAGAGGAAGCAACCGTGGCCAAAGGGGGCCAAGAAGCCTTCCCCAAGTTGCACAGCGCCAGGGTTTGGGGTACGGCTGGTCTGTCCTCAGAGTCTGTGCTCTGAACCACCCCGATAGCCCAGCACATACAAGCGCACCCAGCCCAAGGCATGAGTATATAGCAGGTGCTCAGCACGAGCATGCAAAACTCCCAGGGGTGCACCAGGATGGCAGGAGGTCTTTGGAAATTGCTTTGCAGAGGCTGGTCCGCTTTAACACAGGAATGGGCATGGGGTAAAGGGGTGGGGGGGTGGGGGGGACGTGGAGAGAATGTGCAGTCTTCCTGAGCTTCCTGAAGGCTACGGGCCAAAGGAACAGGACAGCCCGGGGCCCCCACCTGCGATCGGGGGCTGGGGCACCTGATGGAGAGAAGGCAGAAGGGCTCTCAGGGCAGCCTCCCGGGGCCCCTCCAAACCCCAGCATCAGCTCTCCCGCTGGGCGGTGGGTCCCAATGGCGGGCCTCTGGTGTGTGCTGTGAGGGGCTGCAACGGCGGCGAGTTCTGCAGCTGAGGGAGGAAGGCCCTCACACAAGGACCGGCTTGTCCCGAGAAGAAAGGCTCCGAGGAGCATGACTAAGCCGCGGCCCGTAACTAACACGGGCCAGGACTCCCGCCAGGCTAGCGGCCCCTCAATGGCTGCTCTGTGCGCCGGGAACAGGCGGCCGGGTGTGAGAGGAAAGACAATGTTTGGGCTCTGTGGCCTGGCATTCCAGGCGAAGATCCAGAGGAGCCGGGCCTGCTTGACCCTTTCTGATTGAACGCTGACCTCTGCCAGCTCTGAGGCCTCTGGGGAGGGCAGGGGTCTGGGAGGGCAGGGGTCTGGGAGGGCAGGGGTCTGGGAGGACAGGGGTCTGGGAGGACAGGAGTCTGGGGAGGGCAGGCCTCTGGGGAGGGCAGGGGTCTGGGAGGGCAGGGATCTGGGAGGGCAGGGGTCTGGGAGGGCAGGGGTCTGGGAGGGCAGGGGTCTGGGAGGGCAGGGATCTGGGAGGACAGGGGTCTGGGGAGGGCAGGGGTCTGGGAGGGCAGGGATCTGGGAGGGCAGGGGTCTGGGAGGGCAGGGGTCTGGGAGGGCAGGGGTCTTAGAGGGCAGGGGTCTGGGAGGGCAGAGGTCTGGGAGACAGGGGTCTGGGAGGGCAGGGGTCTGGGAGGGCAGGGGTCTGGGAGGACAGGGGTCTGGGAGGACAGGAGTCTGGGGAGGGCAGGCCTCTGGGGAGGGCAGGGGTCTGGGAGGGCAGGGATCTGGGAGGGCAGGGGTCTGGGAGGGCAGGGGTCTGGGAGGGCAGGGATCTGGGAGGACAGGGGTCTGGGGAGGGCAGGGGTCTGGGAGGGCAGGGATCTGGGAGGGCAGGGGTCTGGGAGGGCAGGGGTCTGGGAGGGCAGGGGTCTTAGAGGGCAGGGGTCTGGGAGGGCAGAGGTCTGGGAGACAGGGGTCTGGGAGGGCAGGGGTCTGGGAGGGCAGGCCTCTGGGGAGGGCAGGGGTCTGGGAGGGCAGGGGTCTGGGAGACAGGGGTCTGGGAGGGCAGGGGTCTGGGAGGACAGGGGTCTGGGAGGGCAGGGGTCTGGGAGGGCAGAAATCTGGGAGGGCAGGGATCTGGGTGGGCAGGGGTTTGGAGTCCAGTCTGATGGGGGTGGCAGGCAGGGTAGCCAGCAAGTGAAGGTGGAATTAAACTCTGAGTCGGGAAGCCATGCAGACCTTTATTTTCCCTCTAAGCTGGTGTGTGCCAGGCCCACCCAGCAGGCCTCGTCAGATTTGTAAAACCACAGAGAAAATCCCGAGAAATCCTGGCTGATCTCCCGTCTCCAGCTCCGATCCACCTCCACGGGGCTGCTGGGGCGATCCTCCTAACACGCAAATCTGATCACAGCATTCCCCGCTTAAAACCCCTTTCAATAGCTCTCCGTGGCTTTTGGGATAAACTCCGAGCTCCTTAGCACAACATACAAGGCCCCTTCATGATCCGGCCCACAGCTCATCCTTGCCAGGCCCTTTCCTTTGGCTTCGCCATCATGAATTCATGCATATGTGCGCGCGCCCGCGCGCCCGCGCGCACACACACACACACATACACACACACTCACACACACACTCACACACACACACACACTCACAGACACACACACCCACCACGCTCCAGCACAACTACCCAGCACAGCTGTCTTGATGCCTTTGTACACAGTGCCCTTTATGTCTCCCCTCAGCCCCTACCCACCCCCCTTTGCCCAATGCAGGGGTGGGGAACCATTTTTCGGCCAAGGGCCATTTAGATATTTATAACATTATTTTCAGGCCATACAAAATGATCAACTTAAAAACTAGCCTGCCATATTTGGTCAAACATTTAATTAACTCACCCCTAAAGCTCGGCAGGGCCAGACCACATGATTTCTTGGGCCTCATACTCCCGAAGGCCGGGCGGGCGTTCCCCACCCCTGGCCCAGGTGCTGCTTCCTCCGAGAGGCTTTCCTCCACCACCGCTCACCCCCTGGGAAAGCTTCCTCAGCCTCCCACAGCCCACAGCTGGCCCCTCCCCCAGCACTCACGTCCTGGGACGATTTTAATTGTCCAGCTAATTGTCAATCATCCTGGCAGGACTGTGATCGCCTCAAGGCTAGAGGTCCTACCCTTTTCGTTTTGGTAACTGGGGCCCCCAGCAGGATGCCTGGCAGTGCAGATGCTCAGCCATCTTTGGTTCTGAATACATTTTTAAGTGAACGATGAGGTAAACTGACAGGCGGATCCCGGTATGAGACACCGGCTCCGTAGCTGTGGGAGCCTGGCCTGCAAAGCAGAGGTCACGGTGCGTGAGCGCACCTCACGGAGGCAGCTTAGCACAGCAAGGTCTTCCAGACCCCAGAAGCCGACGAGGTGCCTGGGGCGTGTGCTCTCCTCTCTCTGCTGTAAGTCCATGAAGAGGCGTTTCCAACTCTGCTCACAAAGGACCTCTGGTTACAAGATCAGAATTCTACCTGCAGAAATAATTCTGTAAGAGGAAGCTAGCAGGGGAGAAGGAAGGACTCCCGCTATGAAAAGAAAGGTCCCGATAAGGCAGAGCAGACACGTGGGCAGCAGGTTAACAGTCCGGAACCTGGAAGACGCGGTGTGGCTCCCGTACACACGTCACATACAGGCTGTGGACACGAGTCGGGTAGTGTACACTGGATGGGCATTGTCAGGGCTACAACCAGGACCCTACTGATCACACCCAAGTTCCCCCAGGCCTTCCAAAGTCCTCTCTGGAGCACCCCCCGCCCCAGGGGCTGCCCCTGGTCTGAGGAGGGGACACTGGGCATGAAGGCAGGGGTCGGGCCGAAGCTCAATGACCCAGGCCTGCTATAAAGCCAGCTGCCAGTCCAAACCCTTAAAACCGCAAAGCAATTCCCGCCCAAAGTATTCGGAACTTGCCCCTCTGCCCTGTACTTCTGCCACACTTTCCTACCACATTATACTTGCCAATCACCCCCACTCTCTGCCATGCCCACCCCTCCTTCCGGCTGGCAGCTCCTTTAGGGCACAGATCACGTGGGATTTATCACCACATCCCTGGGTCCCAGGCCTCAGCCAGCAAGGCAGGGCTGGCCACTGTTCGTTAAGTGGCTGAACCGGGCTGGGGGGAGGGAGCATCTGCACAGGCGCTCACAGCCAGCCTCAAGGTCAGTCTTACAGCAGCATTCGCCAGTTCACCAACCCCTGGGGACATCTGGCCACTGCCTGAGGCCCTGGCCGGGAGCCCACCAGCTGTGCCCACCGCCCCCCAAAGCTGGGGGGCTCTCCAGGAAAGCAAACCCAGCTCTGGGAAATCACTGCCAGGCCGGAGCCTCAGGCTCCTCATCTGTTAAATGGGCGTAAATTAGCATT